CTGAACTGCAGATAACAGTCAGCTGAAGTGGCCTGCAGTACTGCACCCTAACCACTGTGCCATCTCGGCTCTTCATAACAAAAGTATCAGGAATTAAAGAAGTTGCAAAATAAACATAACAAAACAGAGTATGGCTAAAGAGAATGGTCTTTAAAAAACAGGAAACCAGTTTAGAATAATGGCAGTAGGTTTTTAAAAATACTCCTGGTATTAAGGAAGAAATTAATATGCAGGTGAACATTTGATCGTGTATGTCAAAACGGATAACTTTATGAGTGTGGCATGAGACGAGGGATGTAATGGACTGCTTAAGATTGATTAAAAGTATTCAATATGTAATTATGAATCACTAAAACTCCTGCCCAAATTTATAGTAGCTTCTATTTTTAAGACAAATTTTCTTTAAAACCAATGGAGGATGCAAGACTTCACCTTGTTGAAAATGGGAATGGTGCGTTCACATTTGTTCCCAATGGAGTTTGAGGCAAAATTATTTTATATCTTTAATAGGAGATATTTTGAAGCAAAATGTCTTCAAAGAAAAAACAAGGAAGTCCAGTTGCCTCCTGAAAAAGCACCTTTGGGACAACCATGACTTGGATGACTGAGAATTACTACAAACTTTGAGATATTTTGGAATAATCTCATTTTAAATTCAATTTTGGATGGCAACCCTAGTTGCTCCCCTTTATATTAATCATGTGAATCTTTTTCAAGTGGTCTTGTAAGTATATGGCATAAATCAAGATGTCTGTAAATCCATCTATTTACTGGAATTCATTTCTCAGACCTGTTGATCAATTCCTTAATGTCTGTGAACGTTAGAGATTTATCTCTGGAACAGAAGTATGAATAGTACATTCATCTTTTCCAATATAGCAGTCTCTAGAAATTCGACTCCTCAAATTCCTCTCTGAGAATTCTGACATGTAAAGGATGGCATTGTGATAGCATCTCGCAAATTCATTTTTAGGAGCACCTCATCTCAAGAGCCTAAAAAGGCACTTTAGCATTAGTGCTATTTGATGAAAGATTGGGATCCATTTAGACAAGTGTCAAAGTCTTTTCTAGTCCATTAAATGCTGCTAACCCTGATGAATCCATTTTCTGGTGCTTCTGGAGTGAAACATCCCGTGTCACATTTAGGTATTATCCGGCCTTCTTCAGTATAGTCATCATCATTTACACAAGTAGCACCCCTGAAATTGAAACACCGTCCATTTAGGAATTTGTTAAAAAGATACACATAAAGCAAAAAGTCATAGATAATCAGTGGACTTCAAATAATCTGATAGGCCAAAGACAAATATCCAATTCTGTTATATTCATTTTACATTTGGCAACCCCCACCCAACATCTAGCAGAAATGTTTATAGCTTTCTGATTTGCTCTACCTACTTCTTTCAGATTTAGAGGGTTCTTGGAAATTTGAAATTCCTTAATTCCAAGCAAAACTCCTTGGGTTGCATCCACATTGAAGGAAATAAATAATAAGTTATTCTTTTATAAAAGTGTTAAATGTAACAATAAGCTATAGAATTCTTCCTGTTGCAACTTAACCACAAAAATGTAATCAGTAAAGGCAATATGGGTTAACTTGCTAAAACTCCCCTGCTAAACAGCAAAGTAAGTCTAAGACAAGACCACCATTTGGTGATATAGGAACATCAGCAACCTAGGGTGAAACTATAACAAAGATAAGATAACTGAGATTCTGCAGGAAGGGTGATGCTGACACTTTGTGGGTCCTGAAACCCTTGGCCATGAACCAAAAGGGTGGAGAAAGATTAAAACATGCATCAAAATGGAGGGAACTTGCATGTGATATCAAGATGCTGATTCTGTTCTACTGAGTCTGTCATCTGCACCTCTATAACTGTCTGGGTTGGGTTGCAGAGCCAAACCAGACAGTTATAGAGGTGCAGATGACAGACTCAGTAGAACAGAATCAGCATCTTGATATCACAGACACAGACTTCAATGGATAATTAGAACTGCAGAAAAAACAATTGCTACCAACNTTGGCCTTCTTAATGGCCCATTGACAAAATGGGGATGGGCAGGAAACTACAGGCAGCTATTCTGTCTTTTAAAACATGTTTCTTTATTTTCACATCCAGAGAAATATTCTGCCTTTTCAATATTACCTAGGATATTTCATTTTTCTGGGAGAGGGCTAGGTGATAACTTCCTACAATATAAATCTATGCAATATAAAAATATAACTTAAGCACACAAATCAAGCATCAGAATAAAACCAGGATTTTAAAAATCTCCTTATATTAGGACCAAAGATCTAAAAAGGATTCAAATATAGTCTTAAACAAACCAAACCAAAACTATTTAGAGAAATTAAAGAGATGTTTAAACAGTAACTGTCCTTAATAATCACATACTACTTTTATTCTTCTAAAAATATGGGTCATATGCAGAGGTGGTATTAGGTTCTGACTAGTTCTGGAGAATCGGTAGCGGAAATTTTAAAGAACCGGTAAATACCACCTTTGATTGGCCTCACCCCCATCTATTATGGCTTCCCAAGTCCCAGCTGATTGGGAGGAAATGGGGATTTTGTAGTAAACCTCCTCTGGAGTGGGGAGGGAATTGAGATTTTACAGTATCCTTCCCCCTGCCATGTCCACCAAGCCATGCCCACATAACTGGTAGTAAAAAAAAAATTGAATCCCACCACTGGTCAGATGTTCCCACCCTGAACATGTCAGCTGAACTAGGCTGGGAAAATTCTTCCTGAGGGATTCTGGAAGTTGGAGTCCACACATTTTAAAACTGCCAAGGTTGAGAAATGCTGCTTTAGCACCATCTTTCCCTATGTGTAAAATAGCCAGAAACTTGATTTTACTTTTTCCAGATGCTGAGAAAAAACAGAGGTCTATATCTATTTAAATCCATACGACTATATGCCTTTCCCTGATGAAATATGAACAGCCACCAGCATATGAATTCTTTCTGTTTTTCTTCACCTTACAGGAAAGATGAGATTACAAATAATTATGGTAATAAAACTATTAATTATATTTAACCCCATCTTTCTGGTAAAATTACATATTCTTTACTTTCCTTAAGGAGCTTAGACCTGCATACTTTTTTCATACAATCTTATATGATTGATTAGAAGTAAGTTATTTTAATTCATGAGTAGGAATTTGAATCAAAGTCTTTCTGGTCAACTAAAGATGTCCTAGCCATTGCATTAAGTTGGTTCATTCTAAGGGTAACATGTAGCTGTTTCCTAAGCAACAATAGGATTACCAGGAGTAAAACTAGACTGATAAAGGCCGTTGTCTCTTTGGAGTAAAATACAACTTTTTTTCTATCCTTCTATTGGGACATACCAAGCATTGATCTTCCTTGCAAAGAAACTGAAGATATTTGCACATTAAAATGCTTAATATTGGACTGGATGAAGCATTTTAGTCTGCACGGCATACTAAGAAAACACCATCAAGCCATTTGGATCAGGGCAGTTGAAACTGAGAACTGGATCAATATTTAGTTATGGTTAGAGCAAGTTTGTGGGGAAAAGTGGTCCTTTACTCAGAAATCCATCTGACCTGACTGAATTTAAAGATCCAAACTTAGGTTTTCTCCTTTCTCCCTTGAAGGAATATATTATTAATCATAAGGCATTTGACTGATTTCCTTTTTATCCAATGTATTTTGTTTCTTACTTTGGCACTCAACGTTCTGTGGTTGTGCCCATGTTTTGTCTGCAAGGCAGCGAAGGAATGGATATCCTGAGCGAAAATGGCCACTGAAGCAAATCACTTCTGCTTGTTCTCCAACATCATAACACGGTTTTTCATTCTACGAAGTAAAAGTGCAGTGCAATAAGTGGAATATTCATTACATGAAATATAGCAATAGCAGTTAGTCAGCTGAAGTAGCCTGCAGTGCTGCATTTAACCACTGCGCCACCTCGGCTCCAAATATAAGTTTTTGACTCTGAAATAGTACTGAGATGTACAATAATTTGAGTTCTCATGGTAGCAACAATAGCAATAGCAATAGCAATAGCAATAGCAATAGCAGTTAGACTTATATACC